GCCTACTTACCTCCCCCAAAATTAAAAATTAAAAAAAAGAGAAATCACATACTTGGGGGTGACAAGAGTCCAGGAGGCAGATAAAGAAAGGTGGGATAAGGCAGGAATCTCTGGTGTTGGAATGTAAGATTTTATGCCCTCGTCCGAATGTAACCTTTTGCTCATTATGCCCTCATTACAATAAAATTAGCCTTGCAGATTAGAAGTACCCATCATGCACTGATGCCATGGCATTTCCAATCTAGACTTCAGGACAAAAATCCCTCCTCCTCTGGGAAGATGGAGCTGGGATGAAAATCAGGAAGCAGGACCCCAAGCCCCTCTGTCCCCAGCGAATATTGTGCCCAGTCATTTTTATACCCCATATAACCAGCTCGTCAAAGAAACTCAGCGCAGCTGCTCACCTGAATCTGCCTGCTCTCCCCTTGAAGACATGCTGTCACGTAATGATACGTCCTTGCTCTGCTTTCTTGACCTCCGTGTCTCGTCTCTGAATTTTTTCTGCCACGAGACCAGAACCTACTGTCTAGTAACATTATCTGAGGTAACAAATGTGAAATAAATTATTTTTTTTCAAAGTCACTAACTTCCCGCGCCAAGTAGGGAAGTACTGTTCTGTAGGAATTAGATGACCTTCACTCAGCCCAGTAATGAGCTTCTTGCCTCTCTGTTTGTTTATTCAGTTTCTCCTGGTTGTCTGTGCTCAGGGGATGCTCAGTAAATACTTGTCTTCTGTGTCGCACACGCTGCAGCTGGCATCTGTGATTCACAGGCCTCCTCCGGAAGCAGAGAGACCCAAGTGTATCAACAGTCATAACAAAGTGTGACTCGGTGTGCTGTGAGGAATAACTGGGGGGGGTTTGATGATCAATCTGGTGCCGACGCACGCAGACGTAGAGTTAGCACCACAAAGCTGCGTGTGAGATTAAAGGGCTGTTACACTCACGGGTCCTGGAGAGGCATGTGTGCTGCGGGCCTTGTAGGGGCCACAGGGGAGGAGGCTGTGGGAAGTGGGCTTAACCAAGCAGGTGGGAAGCCGGCAGAGAGAGCAGGGACCCGTGAACAAGTGCCTTATTGGGGGTCAGGATGGGGACACATGTGAAAGCAGGAGAGGCTGTCACCGGTGTGTCTGAACGTCACTAGGTCTATCAGAGAAGGGCACGAAGGGTGCTGGTAGCAGATATCAGCCTTTCCCCCTGGCACACCGGGTCATCTGAGCCAGGTGCTCGCAGCCTCTTTGTGGGGATGTGGAGGCATCTGGAAAATGCCATGTTTTTAAATGTACAATACACACTGGGTACTGTTTGAAGTAAATGCATAGGACTTTGGATCCAGAAAGAGAAGGGATCCTGGCAGTCCGTGGCCTGTGTTAGGTGGAACACTCTGTCCCAGTGACACTGTTGTCCTAAAGATAAAAATCTAGGCTTGGAAAGCCTGTGTCAATATCCAGGGTTGGCGTCTCTCTCTCTTCCGTCTCTGTGAGTCTCAGATGTCCTGCTTCCGACCAGAGCTAGACAACTAGGGCAGCGGCCAGGCTGGCCCCACCGCCCCCAGCAGCTTGCATGGGGCCTCTCCTGTGTTACTCATTCTTGCTGAATACGTCCTGCAGGGAAAATGAGTCGTGGTGAGAAGTCATCTCGCTGCTTCTTTACCCTCTGGAAAACTCAGTGACTGATTTACAGATAACTGCTTATTCGTCATGATATCCCAGTGAAGAGAGTGGGAATTAAATTTCAGCCTTAAAGGTCGTGGGATCCCTCAAGGCTTAGAGCAGAGTCATGAAAAACTGAGAACCTAAAAAGGGGATTCTGGAATCTGCATAGTGAGTGCACTGTTTTGTCATCAGGCCTTGGTTCTGATGTGAATTTAGGGTTCTGTGGGTAGGAATAGGCCATGTGCTTTTCACTGGAGCCTTAGAACTTTCTCTCCTTTTTATTTCCTTTTTAACTTCTTGTAATGCCTTTCTCTTCAGTTTAAAGCAAATTCTCTTTAGTTGTTCTGAGGTCCTGTCTAGTTTCTGGGCTTTCCTCCTCTGGTCTGGAGTGGCTTTACAAATAAGGTCTCCTAAACACGACTAGAAGCTATCACCTGGCTTGCTACCCCCCAAAAAAGCTTGTATGTTTCCGCTTTCCTCTGACGATAAACAGACGTCCCAGTTTTCACCTGTGTGTTTGGAGCTAAAACATGCTTCCTAAGGGGCATAGTCTTCCTCTCCCCCAAATCTAATTCTTAAAGTTCTAGAAAGTTCTCCAAAGATAGTATTAGGTCCTGTAGACATGTGGGGTACTTGTCTTAAAATACTCCAGCTTTGACATGAAGCATCTCATCCAAAGTAAAACTTCCTATTCTCCCTACACTCTGAAAAGGTCAGAAATAGGGAACTCATGCCAGATTTCTCAGCTCTTACAACGTAGTTTACTTTTTGTGGTTTCGTGGAACCCCATTCTGCTTCATATGTCCCCATGAGATGGCAGTTGCTCTTTCTCCCTTAGGCTGACGAGTCCCTTTCTTGCAGTGTCTTCACTTATTTGCTCATCAAACATTTGCGCGTCTTGTATGTGTTAGGTTCTCTGAGGGGTTCCAGGGCCGCCGTGCGTGCACCAGACAAGCACAGCCTTTGGCGTCAAGGAGTTTACACCTCTTACTGTTCCTCTGGAGACTGAACAGGTGATGCCGGTGTGTGGGTGACATGTTGCTCTCCTAAAATCTTGCCTTCTTTGTGGACTGAACATCATCTGAGCATTTAAAATGTACTATTTTCAAACTAAAAGCCATATACTTCCTATCTTTAAATTATTTCTATTTTATTCTAGGTAGACTGATTATTACTTTTGGCTTGTGTTGTGTGTAGGTTTTCTTATAATATTTTAATTAAGATCTTCCGTTTTCCTCTTCCATGATCAATATACCAGCTTTGACTGCTGTTGCATTACAGGATCAGGCTGATCAGCAGAAGGAAAGAGACCAGGCTGCAACTGTCTCTTCATGCTCCTCCTTTAACCATTGTCTTATACGTTAGGAAAGCATCACAGTAATTTTCTATATAAATATCCTGGAAATGTATATTCAACAGTAGGTTAACATTTAAATAAACTGTACTGTAGTCATAGGAAATGCTTTCTTTCAAGTGTGAAGTGAAAAAAATAATAAACTACATGTAACAATAATAAAAATGTTGATAGTAATATAAACGTAATAATACCAAAATAATAGAAGAGTAGCTAACACTTTTTCAACAGCCACGCTGCTGTCAACATGTTTTAAGTGCTTCTTGCACTTATTACTCCATTTAATGACCTCATTTAATTCCCATAACAACCCGAGCAATTGGCTGTTACTACCCAGTTTTTACAAATGGACAGAACATTCAGGTCCAGAGAGTTGAGGCACCTTGCCAAGTTCAGTGAAAAGACAGCGCTAATCCTGAAGACACCGGGGTACTGGTGGGGTGACAGACCTGTAAAGCGGGCTCAGTCTGTTGTGTGTGTGCTGTGTGTTGTGCGAGTGCCCACAGGGATGCCGCGGGGAGTGGGCAGGAGAGGCACCAGCTGTGCCATCAGCGAGACGCGCAAACAGCGTTGTAGAGAGGCAGCTAGTTTTCCGGGTGAATAGGCAACTGGGATAGACTTACACTTTGTACCGAAAGAGTTGGTCTGGAGACCTGACTGCCCCCCACCAATCACGTTTCTGAACAAGTGACTTAATTCTTTCATCTGAACAACACAAATCATGTCTACATCTTATCAAATAAAATACAGTATTAAAAGCTCTCTGTTGGTACTGGATGCTGTTTAATTATTTTAAATTCCTTAAGTATGTGACTGCTGTTTTCCCTTCACTTTGCTTAGGTGGATGTGATTGTGACCTTGGGAGGACTTGCTGGCCGTTTTGACCAGATTATGGCATCTGTGAGCACCTTGTTCCAAGCAACTCGCATCACTCCTTTGCCGGTTACAATTATCCAAGAGGAATCGCTCATCTACCTGCTCCAACCCGTAAGTGAGGATTCAATACATTGTCAGCGCTTTGCTTTGGTAAAATTGCTGCTGTTTTTATAAACTAGGAGGAAACCCGCCCAGTTTCTGTGTTTGAACTACAAGGGAAGTTGACTGTGTTTGATTATTTATCTCCTTTACTCAGTTGCCTCAGGCCATTGAACAGGAAAAATCTGGAGGAGAAACCCCAAAGCTTTCATTTTCGTTGTATTCAGAAAAACAAAACAAAAAAAGTGATTTTAATTAAATTGACAAAGAATTAAATTAAGCATTTTTGCACTTTGAGCTGCTAAATGCAAATGCCACTTGAGAAAATCTCATCAGAGGAAACAGAACTTGGCATAAATATCTCAAACGGAATTCTCATGTTTTCAGTCTTGTCATTATCCTTGGAAACTGTATTTGACTTTTGTCAAGCACTTAAAATCTTTAGTTTTTTCTGTTCATAAGTTGCCTGCTTGTTGATTTCACTGCCTCAGAATAGATTTCTAATGATGATGTCATTTATTTCCAATGATAAACCTCAGGGACGTTTTCTACCAATGTAGTGCTTAGCGCAGAATTCTTCTTACATAAGCAAGTTTTATGAGGTTGATTGGTGGATTTCACTTTGAAAACTTATTGTTTGGTAACATTTTTTAGACAGTAGAAAGTTTTTGTGTTTGTTTTTTGTACTTCATTGCCTCTCATTATAATGTACTGCTTGTAGTTTTGCTTCCACTGCATCTGCGATCTGCCATCTATAGCTTGTCATTACCTAAAAATTGTTATTTGGTTAAGACGGTGAGTATAATGCACACTCACCATTGTTCAGCCACTTGTGCATTTTTTTTCCTGGCCCTTTGCATTGCCTGGCTTTGTTGCTGTCTGGAATACTTCCTGTGTGGTGTGGAGAGGAACCTGAAGTATTCAGTTTTCAGACTCCCTGCTGACCATTTATTCAGTCAACAAACAGTTAGGGAGTGCCCGCTGCCTATCTGTTGTACTACTGGGCAGTTGACGTGTGAACAGAAATAGTAACATATTGTCTTCACTCCCCAGTACGTGACCACTGGAGGAGACGTTATGAAACACAAACATGAAGCAAGGTTAAAAGGTTAGTACATAGAGATGGTGAAAGATCATACAGTTTGGTCATGGGTGTGCTGAAGAAATTTCCTCACATTTTATTTACTCAACTGATACAATAAATATGAGTTGAGTAGCTGCTATCTGTCTTACGGGGAGACAGCAGCCAACAACAGAACAAACCCTTGCTTTCATGGAACATATATTCTGTTGAGCTTACGTTTCAGCAGAATCTTGGAGGATGAGTAGATGTCTGCCGTGGGGGGTGATGGGAAAATCATTCAAGCCAGAAGGGGCCACTAAAGAAAGACAGAGCTGCAGGGCATGTTGTGGGACCTACAGGTAGTTCTGTGCAACCATATGGAAAAATACCAGAAAATCAGACTCAGAAAACTAGTTTGGACCCTGACTGAAGAGCCATGAATTGCAGAGTGTGAACTTTTTTGCCATAGTTTATGGGAAGTCAGTAAAAGATTTCAGTGAGCAGCCTGACATGTACAGATGTACTTCTTAGATTTCTAACTGCATGTTTGTTAAAAACCTGTAATTTCCCACCAGTTTTGAAGCATGAAATTTCCTACCACTGTGAAGCACTGAGCTTTATCACTTAACAATGACTGATGATACAAATGCTAAAATAGTCAACTGTCTCTATGTAAATACTCTGGCCAAGGGATAACTAGTTAGTTAAAGATGAGATACAGTAATTTTTTAAAAAGTAAAATTGGAAGATTAATTGATAGAAAAAGCCACGTCTACAAATGACTTCTGCTCTTTAAGATCTTCTCATTGTCTTGGGTGGTCTGTATCTTTGTTGTAGAATTGCGAACTTCCTAAAATATATTCAGCTGGGAATATCTTGGCATTCCTCCACCTGCAGGTGTCTGTCCTCAGTTTGAAAACTGTCAGCCATTCTGATTTCAAATATGATCTCTTCCCCATTCTCTTTCTCTCTCCTGCAATTCCAAGTAAGTCTGTATGAGATCCTCCATTTGTATCAGACAGACCCCAGAACTTCTCTGTCCTGTTTTCTGTCTGGCCCTCTCTGGGCTGCGTTCTGGAGTTCTTCATCACCTCCGTAATCCACCTCACTCTTCTGCTTCGGCTGTTCTATTCTGCTGCTAAACTTAAGCACCTGGCTTTTTCATTCCTGCTGTGATTCATTTTTCTTACATACTTTCCCTGAACTCACATCTTCAAGACTCTTAAAACATAATTGTCATACTGACTTTATAGTCCAGCATAATTCTAGTACCTGCAGTCTTTATAAGTCAGCTGTCTTTTATGTTCTCTTTTGCTTTTATGTTTTGTAACCTCGATTTATTCTGTGTTTTGTGACATTTTAGCCATAACCTCCTATTTCCGGGAACTTGACCTGCGGGAATTACTTGAAATAGGAGTTAAAAGTGAGTCCGAGGAGAACTCAGAGTGGACTTCTAGCCCAGTTATTTATAAGCGTTCATAGCTTAGGACCTTCTGTTTGAGAGTTTTGGGACCTTCTAGGTGGTACGAATTTTGAAGGTAATTCTGCTGAGAGTTTTACTTCTGGTTACAAATGCCCAAGGGAGACCTGTTCCGCCTTCCCAGCCGAGCTCGGGTCGGGCAGTGTTCCTAGTGGTCCCGTGGGAGTTTTCTTTATATTCGTCTTTGCCCTGACAGTCTCAGCTTACATGGTACAGTCTCCCTCTGCACACCCGCCTTGCTCAGGCGTGGTCTCCTGGTGACCTTCCATACTCAGGGGCCTAAGAAGCAGAAACTCAGGTTCATCTGATTTGGTAAAAAACCAAATGCTTAAAAGATGAAAGTTAGATTTGGTTTCCTTTTTCCCTCAAAATTTAGTTTTTGGCTTTCGAGTATTCTTTGCAGGGGGTGTTGGGGGGGGAGTTTGATGCATTTTGAAAGATGCCCTGTAATTTTTTCCTAGCTTTTCTAGTCTCTTCATTTGACCAGGGTACTGATCGACCCTGTGTATGTTGCATTGATAATTAGCCCCCAAATCTCAGAGGCTCAACTGAGATGAAGCTTCGGTTTTTGTTTTTGGTTTTTTTTCCATTAATGGAAAATCTGGTATGGTTTGGGCAGCAGCCTCCAATTTGTATCTAAGCCCGCTGGGACACATTGAGGCAGCAGGGAAAAGATGACTGTAGACAGTGGCACCGTTTGTTTGTAAAGGCCAGGCCTGGTGGTGGCATGTGTCACCTCTGGTGGGAACTCGATTACACTGCCCTGCCCAGTGCAGGCTGGTCTAGGGGGGAACGAAGCCTGTGGCCAGAAGAGGAGTCTAAGCAGAGATCACGTCTCCATCACAAGGCTGGAAGCTGACGGTCTGGGAAGAAAGTCTAGGGTCATGATCCTCCACAATTTCTAGTAACATGATTATTGTTTTTGTTTTCATTTATATGTCAAACTTTAATCATTAAAGCACAACCCCTCGTTCCCCAAACATAGTCATCATGGTCAGCATGCCTGCACCGCCCCCCACTCCAGGCCCTCTCGCATCTCTGTCTGGTCATTTTGATTTTGTCTTATGGAAACAACTACAAAATCACCTTATCCTAAGCAAGGAGTTACTACATAATGTGAACCAGAAAGCTCACGGAAGACTGCACCCTCTGTCACGTGGAGGTGTGAGGATGTTTGGCTCAGACTTCCGCCCGCGGGCTCAGCAGGCCTGCCCTGCTCCTCTTTGCTCCCGGGACACTTCCCCAGAGACGCATCCCAGGTCCCTGCTTTTCAGGCACTTCTGTGAGAGAGCACGACAACCACCAGTGCAGCTGCAGAGCCAAAGCGAGTGCGTCTGAGGACTTAAGGTATGGCTCAGTCTTCCACAGTCTGCCGTGTTTCCAAGTAGTTTCAGTGGTACCTTTACGAAATGCGCTTAACACCAAAAATCAATTAAAAGCTATACTAAAATGACTGCACAGAAGCATTCTACCTCCTAGAAGTGAGAGGTGCACCCCTGGAGCCGAAATGACTCTGTAAGGTGCATTTTCACGTACCTCTGTGCTGTGTGTCACACACGTAGTAAAGCACGTGTATATATCACGTAGGGGGCATATTCTGCGGTATAATCAGAATGGACGTCTCCAGACACTGTTCCTTGTGAGCAGGGCTTATGGCCGTCACAAGCAGGATGGACCTGCACCATGAACGTAAACTGAAACCATGTTCAAATATTTTGGAACTACATTCAAGAAGTGGTTTGCTTCAGTGACAAAGAATGGTTTCAAAAAATTTTAATGTGTTTTGTAATTGAAAGTCCTTAAACAGCTATTCTCGAGAAGGATGATGATTTGGAGACTTTTACAAGAAGCATCTCATTTGAGCTTCATAACAATCCTGGGAAGAGAGCAGGACCCCTTATACAGTCGCACGGCAGTGTTTTGACTCAACACTTTTTCCACGGCCCATTTCCTCTTTTTATGGGGTTAATGGACTAAGATGGAGATGACAAACTTAAAACAAACCACAGTGCATAGGCTGGTCATTGTCCATAAACGGTGTATCTGAGCAGCCAGCTGATGTGTGTATGCAGCTGTCTGTCTGTCTATTCTCTACAATATTCTTTTCAAATAGGATGAATCTTGGATATACTTTGAGGTTATATCCCACCTTGTGGCTGTACCTGAAATTAAGCAAAAATAACTCTGAATTTTCCTCAACTATAACAAAAATCTTCATACAATAAGAATCTTTATCATTTCAGCAAATTAAGTGAGATTACCATCGAATTTTGCTGAAGTACTTCAAAAGTGGTAAAATTCCATTATTTTTGAGGACAGTGTCTTGTAGAATTGGTTCTATAATTCTCGGTTGTCTGAAATTGAGGATAATAGCAGGAGGTATGAGACGTCTTTCGGGAAGTGTGTTTGCCTGGTAAATGTCGTGCTGCGTCTGCTATACGACCCGTAAGTCGCTGGGATCGCCTTAGC